GTTGATTTCTTGTTATAGCAAGGTTATTGACCATGTCTCCTAACTTGCTTATGGCTTCGTAAACCTTTTTCATTTCGTCACCAATGCATTCCTGAACTAAAGGTCTAAGATTTAATGATGCATTGGAGACACTTTCTTCAACCATTTGTCTAACGACATTATTGCCATTGGAATTCATAGGTTCAGTCACTACAATATTTGGACCGACATGAGGGTTGTTATTATTATTATGAATGTTTCTATTGGGATTTGCATTGATTGTTTGGGACATGTCAACTATGGACGGATCTATTCCTGACGGTGGATTCATCATTCTGCTGCCTTTATCTTTCTTTCGGAATTTAGGTAAGGTTTGGACGGAAATCCTACTAACATCAAAGGATGCTGTGCGGTTTCTTTTACTACGACGTCTGGTTTCTACTGTATTTTCTTCAGACATTCGCAGCTACTAAGTATGGGTAATTCTGCTTGGATTTTAAATTAGAAACAAAATCTCATAAAAATCATAAAAATTTAGGAATAAAAGAAATAATAGAAGAAAAAAATAATAGATCAAAAGGAAGTCAAAAATAAAAAAAATTAATAAATAAATATATAAATAGTCCAAAAAAATTAATAAAAAAATAAATTATATAGAAATAAATAAAAAGTATAAAATGACATACAAAAACAATACAGAACAATTTAAATTTCACAATAAACATATTAAGAGGTTTCTTAAAGATGGGGTTTATATGAGGTGTGTGTGTTTTCATTTTTTTTTTCATTTCTTTAATAGTATCATAAAATGTCCTTGCGGTTATCAAGGCAGGATAGACAAAATTGGACGATTACACAAATGTTTTAAAAAAACTATTCTTTCCGAGTTTTTCCCTGTGGCAAATTTTTCGTTTACAACAAAAAACGATCTCACAAATAGGATCGGCAACTAACATCCTAATACCACGATTTGGATGACTATTGCACTTATCCCTGCTTCTCGAAAAATTAACTATTTCTACTACTTTACATATACACAAAAACAAAGGAACACTGGTCATTCACAATACAAACATTGTTACACACTAGACGAACAAGCTATTGCACTGACCTCTATATAATGGAAGTATTATCCTAAAAATCCTATATACCTTACACTAATATTGCACTTAACATGTTTTCCCATAGAAAACATGGCTCAATATCAGCCAGGTTGACGGATTTCGCGATATTACTTATGGCTATCTTGATTCCCTATATTCTATGGATTTAGTGACTAGGTGGTATTGCACTTTAAATATTCTTGTTCAAGTTTTGAACTTATTTTCTTTGGTTTGGGCGCCATCTGTTACGACTCCCTGTTAGGCGGCGCTAGAGGGGACCTTCCGGCTAGTTAGCGGTCTCTGGGCTATGGTCCTAACCCGTCCACATCTCTAGCCCATCAGGGGCGAACACGAAAATGAACTTTACTATTCAAATAAACAAACACATTACATTCAAAACACAACACCTGCCTTGATAAGAGAGTATAGATGTTTTACTCTCACATTTTGCCCTCCCAACCATGGTTTCCAAACGTTCCAACGTATCAATATTATTGGAAACCCCGCAAACACACACACACTCACCTCATCACCTTCTTAGAATCCTCTCTAAAAGAACAATTAAAACATATTAGTTATGGTAACAAAATCAACACATATTACATTTATTCTTATAATATAAGCCTTAAAACTAAAAAACCTGTCTTGGATTCTTCAACCCCAGATCACTCAATATATCAATGAAACAAAAACAAATTCGATATTAAAATTTCCTCTTTGAAACGCTAGAGATTCTTTTAAATAACACTTTAAAAACTACTCATCAAGTCCCTATTATAAAGGAGCTCGTTTATAATGGTTGAATAGGCCAATCCGGCATTAAAACTACATACGACGAATCCCTAGTCTTCCTTCAGAGAATTATATGACCTTTAAACACTTAAAAACAATCTGGAGTCAAATCACAAATCCTCACAAATTCAAATAAAAAGTTGACATACACAAGGACAACACAAGATACACTTAAATAATTTGTCTTATAATAATTATCAATATTAACGAATTTTAAAAATATTTCTTTGGGAATCCCTTTAAGGCTAAAGGCATGGGTTTATTCCCAACTCATTGTAGGTATTAAAATTTATCGCTTTCTTATTTTTCTTTTGATATACTTCCAGATAACCGCCTATCTTAGCTGAGTAGCACCGTTACCTCTGTTCCGGCCAAAAAATAAAGGAGGATTTAGATTACCATCGGCCACACAAAATTTGGTTTATGTTGCTGCTGGCAAAAACAGCTGAAAGGCCACACATCCACACACACAACACAAAAGGCTCGTTGGAGATCCAAAAAAATAATCACTGACCTCCTCTTGGGAATACCGGAGGCCAGTAGCAGATTGGTGTTGGCGTTTTTCTGGGGAACCTACCAAAAAATATCTCCCGTTTATACTCATATCAAATCACCTCATTATAAGAAAACTCACGGTAATTTTTTGATTCCACCGGTTAACAAAATATATCATTAAATAAAAACGTTTACACATATATTGACTGTCGTTGTCTTTTTTTGGTATTTATTTGGATTTTTCTCAACAGTTTTGTGGTGCACTCAGACCTGTGGCGGTTAATCCTAGACTAGAGCTATAATCTTGCTCCTACCCTTATTTATAGAGTCTACATTTTCCTCCATTTTCATCAATTTTCCAATAATTTTTTAGGAAAATACATTTAATGGCGAATGTTGCACTAAATGGCTACCCTTTTTCAGGGTTGATAAAAACGTAGTAATAAGTACACTGAACACAGCCTTATTTTTTATTGATGTGGCTACACTGTTCATTTCCTCAGTCTCTTCAGTTCGGGTTTCACACGCAGAGCGCGCGCGTCAAATAATTTATTGGTGATTTTAAATTTAAAGGAAAATTATATTTTTGGCGGAGTCCACCAATCCATGTATTGGCCCGAACGAGTGGCTGTGCTTCAATTGTTGCAGATAGTTTGGATAGCGCCGCCCTAGAAAAAAAAATTATTCATCCCACCCACCCACGCAACACCAGTAAGACGAACTGATTTCTCGGGGTTTACATTTGAAACTTTTTTAAGCAATTGTATTAAAGAAGAATATGGGAATAAAGGAACGATATATGGTCTGTTCCCGTACTGCAGGAATCTACTAGTTTTTACTACGATAACGTAATTTTTCTTTATGATATCGAAAAAAAATAGTAAAGTCAGGTAGATTCTTGCAGTACGGGAACAAACCAATAAAAAACGAACTAAATTACGATCTGGACCTAGTTCCTATCCTATATTGGAATAATTTCAAGGAAGTAGTTCGTTCCGCAATTACCCAACGATACCACAATAAATAAGTATTCCATTTAGCGCAGCTGATGTTTCGGTTAATTGTCAAAATGAGTAATTTCTTGAATTCGATGTGCAATGTTGCCAACCATGTGAAATATTATAAGGAAAAATTTGACAGATGGTCGTGACAAAAACAAAAGTTTTTGTTTTGTTACCATTGCACCATGGTATAATAATAAAAGGTAACAGCAAGTGTTGTACAAAAAACGATACAACAACCACATGGAAAATTGTTGTTGTAAGTTCTACTAGTGTCAACTCATTTGACAGAAAAATGTAAACAAACAAAGAAATTATCATCAAATTATTTTTATTTTGAAAATGGAATATTTTTGAATCCTCAAAATAAAAATTGAAAAACATGAATGAAAATCTATCAAATTTATATTTCTATCGCTTCCACATCTTTCCTTTAATTGAGCCACTGCCATATATATGTGTAACACATATGACAATGCTGGGAATAGCGAGTTATTCCTTCAAGAAAGATTTGCTTCCTCAAACTTTCCCAGCAGGCAGATTGAGTAAATTAATAAAGAACAATTTCAAATTGTATGCGTTCCCAATTTTCCTGTTGGGTGATTTTTAAAAACATAATTTGTCAAATTCATATTGACACTAGTATAACGTTGGAATCAAATCAGCTGGGATTTGCTGTTACCATTTATAATTGTACCATGCCATTGCACAATGAATATATACTCCATTTAATGCAGCTGTCTATTAGATTAACTGTCAAAGAGCAATGTTGCTAGCAACTTGTAATGCTGTCATTCATGAAAATAATACTAGATAAAGTCTGACAGATGGTCTGATAAAAAACAGTGGTTTTTGTTTTGATATAATACATTGCATCATGGACCGAACTCTAGTAATTAGATGTGTGGCCAATTGACTAGTTTATGTTCAACATTTTGACATTTCCATCACTGATGATGGTGGGCGATCTGGCATCATTGTAAATATGGCGTCGTGAGCAAGTTGCAAGTGTTTATTGTGATTGCTGCATTTTTTATTAAAATTTTTGGTGGAAATGTAATTTTTAATTGTAAATATTTAGTGAAAAGTGTTAATTCATATCTCCACTAACGAATTCCAATCATTAAAAGCCCCAGACACTGACCGAAAATTGGGAATAGGCACGAATTGAGATTTCGCAAAGAGTGCTGCTGCAGTCGCCAACGAATAAATGAATGGAATCAAGGATTTATTTGTCAAAACCATAAAAGCAGCACGACACCACCACCGCAAGAAAGAACAACAAAAACAATAACATAACGAATACGTCGCCGTCGACGTCAACTAGACACAAGACGTCAAGATAAAAAAAAAACAATTGCCAATACGAAATCAGCAAACCAACGACAGAGCGACAGAGACTGGGCAGAATTCAAATTGTTTGAAAGGCAGGTGTTTGATGGTTGACGTTGGTGGTGTCGCTTAGACATAAACAAGAATAATTAAGTAACCTCCATGGGAGTAATTAGCAAGAAAGCAACAAAACGCCAACCAGAAAATTAGAAAAGTGAAATACACAAAACATAAGTGATTTGTGAATTCTCGACGTGGAATATTCTGACAGCTCGAAGCCACCATGAATCTCTTAACATAATGAGTTCTTCTCTAGCAAGTTCGAATGCAACGGGTCCTGTTTCCACAATGGCGGGATCAAATAGCGTGTTGCCTAGTTTAATAGGCAGTCGACCAATACCAGCGGCGGCGGCGGCAACAGTACCCATACATCCGCAAATGGCCGCCCAATTTCGAGAAATTCACAAAAATACTTGGCTAAAACGTTTAACAGCTGAAGGCAAGAAAATTTGTGTCGGTCCAAAGGTAACTTTCTTCTCCATCTGCCGAACGGCCAACCTTGTGGTAGTGTTATTAGTAGGTGGTGCTAATGATTGTTTTGTCCCATTTTAGAAATGCGAACGCAGCTGGGTTGTGTTCTGTGTACATGACGACACCGAGGCATTGCTGGAGGGCTATGCCGAACCCAGACAAGCTCCTTCTCATAATCCAGAATGGGTTGTATCACTGCAGGATACATTACATATTTCTCACGCACTAATTCCAAACTCACATGAATTCGAATTTGTTGTCACGCTTAGCAATGAAGTGTTGCGTTTTCATGCTATGTCATGGTATGTTGAAATATCCCCCAGTAACCTCAAAAGCATAGTCGTACCTTGCAAAATACAAAAAACTCACACAAATGATGACGAATGAAAATTTCTTTGTACCGGATTAAAATTTGACTTACAATGCTAGCAACCACGCACCTGAAATTTCGTTGCTTGCAATTACAGCTGCTCCACTACCCACTAGTTGTCTAATAACCCAAACGATTATCTAATTGGTGCTTCTTTCATTTACCATTAACGTGCAGTACAATTATAACATTCCGCACATTGCAAAACAATTTCATTCGTTGCATTTGTTGTCGTTGTTGTTGTTGTTTGTGAGGAGTTATTAACGTTTTGAATTTGTTTGGCTTATATTTATATCTTCATTATTGCAGGGATATTATGCAAGAATGGGTCGAAACATTGCGTTCCAAATTGAGAGAAATGAAAATACTTTCTCCTAGGGAGAACCTGTATACAAAATTGCCTGAAGTTCGACTGCCCTTATTGCCAACGAGGGATCCAACATCGCCATTGCCAGCACCGCCGCCTGTCCCAGCTGCAATAGTGCCTGGTGTAGAAAGAGTTATTCCACCCAGTCTTCAACAACAACAGCTACAACAAAGTACAGCCAGTGTAAACGATAACAATTCCACAAATGAAACTCGAAATGAAGCCGATAATACAACCACTGCATCCACTTCCTCAAATACTTCCACAAACGATAGTTTTAATATTAATACAACAACCACAAATAGTATACCGTCCACAACAACTACAACAATATCTAGCTCTACATCCTTGTTTACTAGTACTAATGGAACAAACACGTCGACAACGTCCACTCCTCTTCTGTCGTCTATGTCGAATACTTTAACACAAAACCTATTGAATATGTTGTCGGATCCAATAAGTGCTTATAGCGAACAAATTAACGATGCAAATTCATCAACTTCTTCCGTTGATCTGGACGAAATGTCAAATGTAACATCAAAAACATTAACACTAAGCTTAGATAGGGGAGATTTGCATTTCAGTGATTCCCAATCGACTGAGGACGAATGCATTGGACCATTGTTACGCAAACCCAGTGTGCGATCAGGCGATTTTAACAATCACGGAAGCAGCAGTGTTAATAATAGTGTTCGTTTGGATGTGCTTTCTGCTCATCGTGCTTCTGCAGGTAATTGAGATTCTCTTACACAATGAAATGAAAATGTCTATTTACAGAGTTTTTTTCATTCTTTTTAAGATCATGTCCGAAATCTTGAGAATTTATTACAATGCGAACGTCGAATACCACGGTATGTAAATATTTATTTTCTTTGATATTTCATATGTTTTTTTCTTATAATCCTTATTAAAAAGGTAAAAATAGTTTTTTGCAAAACAAATGCATATATAAATGAAAAACAAAAATATAATAACATAATGTGAAAAAAATATATTATTTCTCGTACTTCTAATCATTCACAACTGCCTCATATTTCTTTTCCAACTCATCTAAGATTTCCCACAATTCTATTTTACCAAATTCGGTTTGCGATTTTATGAACATTTTGCGCAATTCTGATATGCTCTTTAATTTGGCTAATTTCACTTGTAACCGCTGAGTCATCGACTGAATATTTAGACGCCTTTCGTACTTTTCACGTAGTCTTGTTTTCTTATTCAGCCATTTTCGACAAAGCTGCTTCGCTATAGCCCTCTTATAATTGATTAATTCAATTTCGAAGTGTTCGCTCAATATTTGCTGAAGTTCAACATCAAATTCTTTTATAATATTCATAAATTCCAGGTCACTTGAGTAAATGGGTTTAAAAACAGAATCAAATAGTTCCAATTGCCTTGGCACAGACGTGCAATGTTTCAAGTGAAGAAGTTTTTTGCGAATGCTATTTAAAAAATTGGTTTTAATATTGGAAAGGCTTGATTCATTTTCTTGGTGAAATTTTTCTGCCAATTTCCTTAGTTTTAGATTTTCCATTTCCTTCTCCGTCAATTGCAAGCGTAAGCTTTCCAATTCATGTATAAGTTGGGGAATTTCGGATATAACCTGAGTTGGTATATTTTCCTGATTGAGCTCATCTTGAGATCTGACGAAAGACTCATCACATGATCCTCCGTGTGACTTGTAGGTGACATTAAATTCAGTTCTGTAGCTGATACTATCAATTTGGCTTTGATAATCCAATTCACCCAAAACACTTTCCAAATTCCGTTTGCAATTATTAAGATTAATGAATGGTTGTGACAAATAACCCGATTCTTGAATCTGGTTATACATTAATGTACACAAACAGTTGCGTGCTAACTTATCTCCTGTTTTTGATTGATTAAACACTTTAAGCCACTTAAGACATATATCGATGTCGCTAGTTTCGGCTTTCTTTAATATCATATCTCGCAACTCGGCAACCTGGTCCCTATATAGTTTATCCAATGTTGCGGACCTTAAAGTTAAGTCGTTGGTTTCATTGCTATCAAAACTCTTGTGCATTTGTAAGATTTGTTTGATACAAAGGATATGTATACGAAATATATATGACTGAATATTTTTAAAAGTGTCACGTCGACTTTGTCGATTTTGATTTTTTTGCTCTTCATTCGAATTGACTTTGGAAAACATTTCAAAATAAATAAATGAAAACATAAAGCGGCAGGTAGGGTATAATACATAAATACTACCATATTTAAGGGCTTTAATTGAGTAGCAAAAGAATTCACTAAATAATGTTTTAAATACTAGATGAAATAATTGGTAGAATTTTAATGTGAAAGTAAATAACAATATATAAACATTTCCAAGTCGGAGCCATTCTGACACCTATAACTGTCGGCCTCCTACAACCAAACTGAATTAATCTTAAAACATTGTTCTGCTGATTTTAACAATAATATTGTCCATATATTTAACTCAATATAGATACAAAAGCATACGTTTTATTTTCATGTAACATTGATTGATCTCTCAGCTTAATCGTGAATAGATATTCATTATTTGGATTTATTACTCCTTATTTCAGACCACACACCTCTCGATCCCTCTCTGTGGGAGCCGTTGATAAAACCAGTAATCCATTAACAACTAATTGTCATAAACCTGAAGTCACAACTCTAAATGATACTCATCAATCATTGGTCGTAGCGAATTCCTGCTCGCGCGGTAATAATATTACAGAACTTGAGGTAAATTCAGAATTTGAAAATCAACCGTCGACCACTTCAACGTCTTCGTCAGTTGATACTAAAACGAACATCACTATAATACAAGTCTCTACAAATGTGATTAATGGTGACAAAACGTCAACTTGTGATAGCGATTATGAACCTCCTAAATTACCCCATAAGGCATCTAACGCGGAGATATTCACATTTCCCGAAACACATGTTGCATCTGCAGTAGCGTCTGCGTCAGTGAAACATACCAAACAGTTTGAATACAAGAGTAATGTACAAATCATTCCGTCCAGTAGTAGTAGTAGTACGAATAGCAATAGTAGTCAACAACACAATAGCAGCACAATTCAAGTTATAGGCGATACAGCAGCAGTACATCCGCAGTCGGTTGGTAATCAGTACACAACCCCGGCAAAGAAAACACCCTTGGCTTCAAGCGGGGCAGCAGCATCGACAGCAATTGCCGATCAGTGTAAGATAACTACAGTTCATGTAGCAGGCACTGATAACTCGTATGGGACTTGTTTCACACCTCCATCGGCCATGAGTTCAACGTCAGGACAACCGCCAACGTCCACGCCAAAATTGCCCAAGAAAATTATTGTATCGGCAAATACATCTGGAATCACAAATATAACCGTAAATAACACAAATGAGTCGAAATCTATGGCAATGCGAAGAAGTTCTTTGAAGGAAGAAGTTGAAAAGGCATCCAAGTCAAGTAATCGTAGCAACACGATGCATTACGAAAAGGTATTTCTATCCACAACAGCCAATACGGCTGTTGAGATCGAATCACCAACATCGTCCAATGCAGCCATTATTTCGGAAAACATGAGTGTTATGCCATCGTCTTCCCAACAACTGCCAAATGCATCGGCACCAATGTCACCGAAATGGAGTTCTCCTCTTAGACAATCCAATCAAAATAAATCAAAGGTAGATTTAGGACCATTATCGCCAATCACAAAGTCTTCAGTCAATGGGGTCAATGATAAGAAGATAAAGGCACAAATAATAAAGCAAGCCAGCATAGAACAGCCAGAAAGTCGAATAAAAACAACGCCAATAACATGTCAAGTTAACCAAGATCAGCCGCCTACTCCCCTCAAAGTGGCAAGTCCAGCACTTCAGAGGAGGAGAATCGTGTCTCCATCCAATGCTCCGCCAGGGCAGATTCCTAGACCACCTTTCCTCTTAAGGAGAGGCCTCACCGAGGCCGTTATTACTGCAAGGCCTAGTCGTCGAGATTTTCATATACTCAATAAAATGTCTTCATCCAAAACGAAAAACTCAGCTCCGCATTCAGTGACAAATGTCAACAACAAACCACATAACATATCTAATGCCAATAACAATGGTGATGTTCCTGGTCCATCGGCAGCTACACAAACACCTACCCACATGGCTATAAATCGAACGGCATCTGATGCCGTGGAACAACGCAGGCGTAGTTCCTCGACTTCCGACGCCCAAGGACAGCGCAACTCACGCGGAGCCAACAACAATGAATTTTCCAATCGCCCTAATCCAGCATCGGGAGCAAATCCAGCTTTGCGTCAACCACCGCAACCATTTCGGATAAGCGATAATATTTTAGGTGGAGGTCCCAGTGGACACCATAATACTTCGAACGCGTCGCCGGCAAAACGAATGACATTGCGGGAGCAACAAGTCATGCAACTACGTCGTGAAATAATGCATCCTGGAGGTGTACGCTTACAGCTACGACGAAAAGATTGTGTGGGTTCCATAGCCTGGGTCGATGCATTCGGTGCCGTATGGTGAGTTACCATTGAATATAATGTTATGGGCGTATCCGTTTTAATGTTAGTGATACTATTTAAACAGGGTTGCTGGATGGAAGCAAAAGGAACACCCGGTATTATATAACGCCCTGCACATCGGTGATCAGCTACTTTCTATAGCAGGCGTTACTATAAGTTCAGCAGCCGAAGCCAATAAAATTATTAGGAATACAAATACGCTTTTTGTAAGTAGTAGACATGATCCTCACAGGCAATGGTTACTGTTTGTCCTTATGTTTGTAACGTTTGCTTCATTTTTGTTGTAAGGTTGAAGTTTTGGTTCGTCGCATTCCATTCGGCAGGGGCTATGCCATTCGTCGAGAAAGAGAAGGTCAATGCTTGGGATTAATACGGGATGGCAATACAGCAACTATTGTCGATGTTGTGCCAAATAGTTTAGCAGCTAGACACGGATTACCTCCAAAGGTATTTCTTACTACATATATATTCACCTGTTAAATGGATACAAATGTTTTTTTTTTTTGTTTTTTTGCAGGCTCAATCATGTGATGGCACAACCTTAACCTTTTGGGTACTAACCGAGATAAATGGTCGTCCCTTGAATTTGTTCTTTAAGGACAATGAGATACGGGATCGTCTAAATTCGGTGGGTCGTGATATATCCATATTGGTGCAGCCGTCCGATTTAATAACGAAGCTTAAAAAACAACTGAAGTCATTGCGCGGCTATAAGGATTATTTGGTGCAATAACCCTAAATGAACAGTGCAGAAAACAAATTCTGCACGTGAAAGATGTTTCAAATCTTGTGTTTCTTTAATATGCAAAATTCCAATTGTTCTGTATTTCAGAGTTTTGTAGGGCAGTTTGGAATTGGAGTTGCATAATTTTTATACTCATATTTTTTGTAAAATGTTCTTCACTTTTTTCAATTATTTAAGACTTTGAAGCGAATCATTCTGCTTTTAAAAACGTGTAATTGTCTCAAGAAATTTGTACTAGGAAAAAATGTATTATGTAACTCATAGTCAGTATATAAATCAAAATAAGAAACTTTTAGGCATATATATATATATATATATATATATATATATACATTATAAACATTTTAGAGAACTTGTATTTATACCTTTTGCATATAATAAATACATAGCGGAAACAAATCATTCACTTAAGCATATACATATATATAAGATCGTTCATATATCTACATAAATATATATTTTTGCAATCACATATATTTTTAACATATATACAATTAGTCATAAGTCTTTATATAAATACACATATATACATATAAAAGTATAGTTAATTACTATCTAATTCTATTTAACAAACAAAATGAAAGAAAAAAATACTCACGAATCAACATACTTGCTATGGGTTTTGGCAAAATCATTTTTAGGCAATAATGAAACAGTTATAGGCAAAATTGTTATTTGGTAATTAAGTGCAAAACATGTAAATTTACAATTCATTCATTAATGACTTTTTTGAAATGTTGTTAAACGCCTCCACTTATTGAGAACAATCGATTACAAAACACTAAAATTTAAAACTAATAGAATTTGAAAGGAAAATTCAAACACTTGTAATCTAGTAATAATTTTTTTAATTATCCCCTTTGGTCAAACAATGCGGTAAAATTATTTTGTTTTATTTTTCATTTTTTGTGCTTTGTTTAAATTCGTCAAATCAGATGCAATATTATAGTGCCTATTTTTTATTTAGTAACGAAACGATTAATCAGTTTTATGTTTGTCCCATTTTTGTGATTGAATAATGAAATTGATTTTTTAAAACGTGATATACATACTTATTTCCATTAGAACGTAAGCGATATAAATCTATATATTTGATCACTTTTCCTAAATAATAAAAAGCAATAAAGTAACCCCATTATCATGATTTTTAAACACATTCTATCCATTATAAAATCTCCTTCAATAAGACGGTGAGTATACGCCAAAAAAAAGAAAAAAAAAAAAACATTGTTAACGGTAAAAATTCATCAGAATTGAATTCAACTTCGGTGACAAGGTCTATTAATAGGGTCAACAAGGAAGCGTAAAACTTCACCCAAACTTAAAAAATGTTTTCACAAGTATAACCATTTATGTTGGTTTTTCTCGACACGAAAAATAAAAATTAACTCAAAATCATGCAATGGTATTCGCACTTATGGGTAAAAAAATCATATAAACATTTATTTCTTTACTCATTGGAAATAAACCAACAACCATCAGCCTTATTCTGGATAATCGCTGGGAGATATCTCGCATGTAAAAAAATTTCGCTTTCACATTCTCGCCTTATTCTGAATAAATAAGGAGATGCAAAAAATGCGAAATGCGAATTCGAGTTTTCGAAAATGGTGGTTGAAAAATAGATTCGTGTTGCCATATTGTAATTTAAATTGTAATGTGTGTTGCCATATTGTAATTTAAGTTGCAATGTGTGTTTCCCCGTTTTTTTATTAAAAATGTTTACTTTTTATTGTTATTTAAACTTTTTAACAATACAAATGTGAAATATCAATAATCCGCTGTATAAACGCTTTGTAATTAAAAGAAAATAAATAAAAGTTTGAAAATATATCAACCTACAATAGGCATGTGAAACATCTGTTCATTGTTTTGATGCAATTTGGTGCAACAACTACAATAGATTACAAATATAATAACATTTTTTATGATGGCAAAAACACAACGAATAATGGGAAGAAATCTGCGATTGAAGTAATTAATTCACAGTTTATTGTGTCACTACATACTTGTGTGCCTTTTTATTTAATTTCGATATTTTATTTCCCCAAATTCTTAAAGTGGCCAGTTATGATTTGCTCCTACTCCTTTATTTCTTCCTTCAAATAATGCAGACGATAATTTTGAAAAAAATATTTTTTATTTTTATTTAAGTTTTTCACTGTTAAGCGGCTCATTAGGCAAATTTGGGTTTTCCATAATTTTTCCAAAATGCATCAAACTCGTCTTAAATTAACGACTTATTAACTTTATACATTCCTTCTGCATGCATCGTTATCAATAGGATTTCCAATGGCATTTTATTTGTTTTTTTTTCAGTTAAAAATTAGCTTACTATCATTTATAATATTCTAAATCGTCATAGAATAAGTATTGTGTAAATATTTTTCATAAAAATATTTATTACTTATGTTTTTGTAGTCAGCTCCCTTTGAATTTATTAGCGAAAAAATTCGCACAAAATTTTATTTCATTCTCCTACTCCCTGTAATCCAGAATACCTAATTTTTCCCCAAAGCGGATTATTTTGCTTTCGAACTTCATTCAGAATAAGGCGAAAGCGAGAACGCGAAAAAATTCACAGGAAAATGTTCAGAATAAGTCGAAGGGGAAGAGCGAATAAATTCACGTGGAATTGACATCCAGAATAAGGCTGCATATATTTTTTGCCCAAACATAATTTTTTTGCAAGAATTTTATTCAGTATTGAAAGAATTTTATTCAGTAAGATTTTGCAACTCAGGTAACAATTGTTACCAAATGTTACTAAATGTTGTCTGTTTACACAAAAATCCAGTAAAAGAGAGTCCAAACACAAAAATTATTTAAAACAATTTTTTTTTTAATTTGCAAAGTTCAATTTGAAGTTAATTACAGAAAATGGAAGAAAATTCGTAAGTAATGCAAATTATTAGAAACTAATTCCTTATATATTTTTAGGCAAGTTCCAGATAGAGGGCAATGTATTGATGCAGGGAGCTTAAATGTTCCCGGGGAACATACCAGATCAATTTTTCTTTTATTATTATTATTTTATTTTTAATATTAAATGCAATACAAATAAGTGTGTTCGTCCTTTGTCATAGACTAATGAAAATAAAGACGACGAAATACTCAAAAAATGCGCAGTCAAGTGACTCAAAATAAAAAACTCAAAAATTTTTAAAGACGTTTTTTGTGGAAAATGGTCTATTTTTCTTTAATGTTTTTATCTGAGGATATAGTTTTTGCTTAAAACTAACTATATTTAGTGGCATTCCAAATTAAAAAGTTCAAACAATTAAGTAAATCAGCATTTAAAATTGAGTAGCGCATTCAGCAGACTCAATTCAGAGAGGACTGGTGAGAGCATTTCGTCGTCTATAGGTTCGTTCGTTTACTTTCCCAGTAATATTTACTCAGTAAGAATTTGCAGAGAGTAAATACGAATTTTTCCTTCTCAAGAGAGAAAACTGCAAAAAGTAAACGAACAACATCCAGTAAAAAGATTGTTTCGACACAGCTGATTAAAACAACAAACAAATTGGCGCAAACTAAAAAACAGCATTTTTATTAGAAAAATGGATAACAAGCGGAAAATGTATGTTGTTTACCAATACTTGCGTTTTCTTCATCAATTTTAATGTTTAATAATACAAAATCAATATAAAATTCACAAAACAATCAATTTGGTTGAGGACAATTTTGTTGTTTGTTTACAAAATATAGGAAAACCGCTGATTAAATATCAGCTGATGGTACAAGAAAATTCTTACTGAGTAAATTTTCCTTGTAAGAATTTGCAAATACTCAGTAACACAACTGTCAAATCTGCTCTCTCAATTCACTCTCTTTTACTGGAGTTTTGGGTAAACGAACAACATTTTGTAATAATTTGTACAAATTCGTACAAATTATTGAGTAAACGAACGAACCTTATATTTTCATTAGTCCAGTGTTGGGCAAAATTAAATTGAGAGCTAGTGTGTGCGAGCGTAACTGAGAATTCACCATTAAAAACGGCTGATGTAAGGAGAAAGAAAGAGAAAATGTGTTTACCCATCGACCCTCAGTTACGGTAGCGTATATGGGTAAGCATGCCTGCATTAGTCTATGCCTTTGTTTGTTGTTTATTTTGGCGCAAATCAAATGTTTTCTTGAATCAGCTGTTTATTTGCTAAATCTTACTAAATGTTGTCTGTTTACTTTTTTCAGTATTATCGCAAAAGAGAATAAGAAAGGCTTACTATCTGAACTAGAACTTACTGAATAAATGTTACAGGAAAAGTAACCAGACACACTTAATAAGACCAGCTGGATATCTACAGTTTCTCAAGTATGCTGTCAAAATCCATTATTGTGAATTGACTTCCATTGCGAAAACCATGACCTATTAATAAGGTCATCCAGGGACCATTTTCAAAATAAACGACTTGTGCCAAGATATATTTAACACTAGATTGCCGAAGTCAGTCAATATGACTGTTTTTCAATTTCAAGTACAAAAACAATTGTGTATATTATGCCCAGCTTTTTAAAATTTGGTGACTTTTTGTACCACATAGAACTACGTTTATTAATCATAGTAGCTGCTTCCTCCCCTCTTTCATTTCCCGTATTCACATGTGCTATACCTATATTGCCTAAAAGCGGTCATTTTGACCTTTTTGAAATATTAAATAATCAAACTGCTTTTATTATTGTATAAAGTAAATTTCTTATATGCCCAGATTGGTACAACAACATCGAAATCCGTTTGCTACTCTAGAAACACAAACGAACACACAAATCGGGAAAAATAAATTTTATATTTCCAGTCGATTTCACACTTAGAGTAAAGACTTCCTCTTTTTCGAACATTTTGTCCGGAATTTTTTGAAATGGGAAACTCAAAAAACAAATTATAACAACGTTTTGTATGATTGTAAATAATGTAAAAAATATTAAAAAATAAGTTAAAAAAAATTTCGTTACACAAAAAAAATTCTTTCAGAATGAGGTCATTTTGACCGATTTTAGGCAATATAAATACAAAATTCCCGTCTTTCTAACATCGGCCCAGCTGTTGGTGCAAATAAATGTCAAAAATGTTGTTGTAATGTTGAACCAAAAATTAAAAAACTCTCCGAATTTCGAAGAGTTTTTTGGCAATTATTTTATTAACATTTTCTACAAGAATTTGTGTAAAAAATATTGTCAATCTGTTTGTTTTGGCAAAATATTTTTGACATATCAACGAAATTCTTGCTGTACGGGAGCAAACCAAATGCTGAATATATTTTAATAAAACGACATATACATTAGAACTTTTTACCTGGTTAACATACTTTATTAGGATTTATTTGACATATATGCAAAGGAATTGACAATTGAAACCCACTGGGTTAACGAAATCCGGTCTATAAGCCTCAATAAATAATTGTATGTTTTTCGTATGCCGGACATTCATTTGTAATCTGTGTATTTTTTTATATAAAATTTTGTGTTTTTGTTTTTTTTTTTAAATATTCAAAATAGTTTAATCCTATTAACGAAAAAATATTGATATTGTATTTAAATTTAAAGTTATACCCATGGTACAATAATACAAAAATAAAATAAATATACGCAACAAGTGTTTGTGTTTATTTGACATTTTTTCAACACAAAATTAAAAACGCGAAAAATTAATGAAAGGTTATGATTTCTTCCCAAAATCCAGTAGGGAATACCATAAAATTTTTGTTTCATCCATAACAAAGTAATTACTTCCAGACAAACGTGTTAAAAACTTTATTTTCATTTCAATTAAACTTGAATATATTTCAATTTATTTTGAATTTATTTGATATTGTATTCAAAACAATACACACATACCCAAAATATGTATTTTGATTTGATTGAACAAGCCACCTTGAGAAAAAATTATAATCAGTTGGTAGCAGTGCCCTACCTTGTAATAATTATACCATGGTTATACCCAGCAATGGTATTTTTACGCACAGAATGAGTATCATCTCAAGCATAGCGCATATTTAAAAAGTACAATACTCTGGTTTTCAGTTTATAATAAATTCAAAAAAGAACATTTCATTTATACTTTTACAAAAAGTCTCTACAAATATACCATAAGTATAAAAATAGTTGTGAAGTAATTAAATCGTCAAGTCTATTGACTTTTTTGGATTGTATTACTCGTATAGATCTTGCATTAGATCACGAAACATGGCTGGATTTACATTACGCCTAGGGGAGTTGCCAATCTTCTACTAGGCGCGTCTTTCCGGTTGGTGGATGGGAGTGAAACTGACCTAAGTCCCCTAGATCAACTTTTCTCTGCACTTCGTGGAAACCGTGGACCAAAATGGATCGGGGGGTAAAAGATGGGTAAAAGAAGTAAAAAGAATAATGTTACGGTGCAGGGAATTAATAACCCAGTACCGGCGGCAATCGTGTCGTCGAGATCAAACGATTGTGATCCGACTGTTGGAGTGCATCTGTTACAAGTGCATCAATTTAATACCAAAACGTTGACGAACCGGCTATACCTTTGGCAAATGCGCATGTCAAGACTGACTGATAATCAGTCTCTGGCTGACAGCACTGTAGTTCTTGGAGGGGACGACCTACACGGGACTCTAAGCGCTATCCGCGATAGTCTAGATGAGAAAGTAAGGAACTTTTCGACCAGTTACACAGATTGGTACCGGAAGAGCAATGTTGTGGATACGTTTCCGGAGGAACTGCTACTAAATCTTACCCTAACTGATGATGAACTGGACACCACGGTGATCCCAGCCATGCCTACATAGGGGGATAGCTGTAGTAGTAACGAAGGAAGCGCAGACCCTGTTGACCGACCGACTTCAAGTCTGATTACCACAGGTCCTGTGTCGGCAAATTCGTGGGCGAGACGCGAATTTGATCCCGCACGATCTCCATCGTGAACTCGAGATGGACAGGATCTCCCTCCCGAATCCTACTACTCGCACAAAAATGGTTGAATCGGCGAAGCCCACTGTCTCTGACAAAGGTGCTAAGCGGACTTCTGACCTGAAGCCCAGCTCGAAGCCGAACCCTAGTGGGAAGGCACATGAAAGGGCAATTGAGAACATCCCGAAACAAAATGTCACCCATAAGGGTGATCAACGTGTGGAGGGCTCTTTCTCAAAGCCCGATTCTGCACCTAGCGACAAAAGTGATGCTAAAGCTTTGGGTGGATCCACTAGTGGTCGAATCAGGAAGAAGAGAAAGTCAGGCAAGGAACCATCGTCTCCTGGGGGAGCAAATGTCGCCCCACAGAGCAAATCTGTGAAGTGCATCCGCTCTTCAGAAGGTCCGAAACCCTCACCCAAGAAGATGATGACTTCACGTCTGGCAGATCCTTCTACCTCACATGCGGCTGTCGCTGGACAACAAACGGCGGAGAAACAGCTTAGTACAGAGAAGACATCAACCTCCTCTGGAAGTTTGGAAGAACTTACTTACAGCTACCGGTTGTGTTGGGTACCAGGACATTGTGACATCTTGGGTAATGAAAGAGACGACGAACGACGGAACTTTGAGGCATTCTTCGACGAAAGAACCTGTGAACTTGGGCACAACGAACCTATGTGCATCGTGTCAAGATCCATTTGGCAACTCTGTCTACCAAAAGAACGCACTCACTGTTGAACCTGAGCAATGCTGAAATAAGAGTAATGACAGGAATCATTAGGTGTGTCTGGTTACTTTCCCTGCAGGAATTGTCCAGTAACTTCTTTCTGAGAGAGTAAGGTAGTTTTATTCTCTTTTGCAAGAAAAATGCGAAAAGTAAACAGACGGCATCCCTGCAGAAGCTTGCAACTAATCAGCTGATTTGTCAAAACAAACCAATTTGTCCGCCATTATAAAGAATTAAAAGAAAGAAAACACAACCAGTTTAACAAGTTTTTGAAATAAAAAGGAAATAAAATAAAAAAATGAGCAATAAAAGAAAGATAGATTTGATGTGTTCCCCAGAAACTTTTAAACGTGTTAGTAATGGTAAGTTTTTTTTGCATAGAATAAAAATACTTTTGTATAATGACATTTGCTTTTCTTTTAGATACAGAGTTTAGGAACGCTTTGGCAAGTGGTATCGAGGGGATTGAGGAATGTGACGAGTTAATTTTTTCGCCGAATGTTGTTTCCGACGAAAGCATGGAGGAGCCACTTGTGTTTAACCCGATCTTTGAGTCTCAATGCCAACTCGAAGAAGGCTGTGAACCACAAAGCCCAGAGCCCGACGGCAAAAAGTCCATTTGGTTGGATTCCTCAACAAAACTTTTAATTAACAAATATAAGGATTTGCGGCCTTTAGTCGGAAAAGTGGCTTCGCTAAAAAACAAAAAACAGATGTGGACAAAGATTTCAGAGGAGCTTAAGGCGAATGGGCATGATTTTACCATAGCGCAAGTGGAAAATAAGTTTTATAGTTTGGAGCGGCAATACAAGAACATGCAGCTTCATAATTCAAAAACTGGTCGTGATCGACAGACATGTCCCTATAAAAGGTAATCAAGTTGTTAATTAAAAAGTTAAATAGTATCAGTAATTTTGCGGACAAATGTATACCCTCAGCCAATGTTTGATTATTTAAATGAATTTGTATTTGTTTAATGACTGCATAAAAAGTTGATTTTGATCACTCCCATGGTGATTCCGAAGAAGTTGGCCAATATTGTCCATTAATATCATAAGCCTGATATAAGCATAATAAGGTATCAGGTATATCGACAACTTCCTTCATTTTATATGAGACATGTCATATTTTTTGGATGATTGCTGATATAGTGGACCGAAATATTCCTCTTCATCTAATACTAATAAATTTATTGTGATGTGAAAATTTAAAGAACATGGAAAATGATGACCGACATTGACCAGCCAGACAGACATTTTTATACCCTCCACCAAAAAAAGTATGCAGGGTATATTGAGTTCATCATTCCGTTTGTAACTCATCGAAATAATCATTTTAGACCCAACAAAGTATATATATTCTTAATCAGCGTAAAATTCTAAGACGATTTAGCACTATTCCTTTTAATTAATTTTATTATTTTATATTACAGTGAACTTGACGGAATATTTCTGGAGAAAAAGTCAATAAATCCCGAATATGTGTTGGACAAGAATATTACCTTCACAGTACGTAGACAACTTTCCCCCAATCGGCGAATTTCTGAAAACCCAGCTGTCGTGGCATGAGCCAGGATACCCAACAAATATATTAATAAATTTCTTTTCTTGGTTACATATACCTTGCAAGCATAAAGTTACATCGCCTTTCCTATCGACATAATCATCCTTTCCAGAGCTGGGAGGGTCAATAACGATATGTGTGCCGTCAATACAACCTGCGAAAATAAACATATCTTTATTTTTTCTAAACAATCGAAAATGTGGTACTACCTATTGCCTTTTTAAAAAAACATTTGTTGTCAAAACATTGTGCGGACCTTCTTTTTTCCTCCTTCGTAGGCCATTTTATGACTTCCGGGCTCATCGAACTCAAAAAGAGAGATATCCTTGATATAATTGCACCTACCGTAAACAGAGATAGATCGAATCGGTCTGCAATGTCTCTATAACTGCACGCCTCGTGGCCGGCAAACCACAAAAATACCAGGATATTCGTCTCTTCTGAGAATTTCTTGTCTGGACGCATTTTTTTATACATGTCCCAGTTGGATAACCTTTGACATAGGCTTTTAAATAGGCTTTTTGATACACGGAAATGTCTTCTAAATTCTTCCTCCGTGTATGTGGGCACAATACATTCAATGTATTTTTTGACCGCATTTCTTTTGTTTTTCTTCGTAATATGTAAAACATCATGGAAAAGTTTGTCCTCTCTTATCAATATTGCTTGAAAAAATACCTCATCATCATCATCACTTTCAGATGAGGATGATTCCATCAACAATGTAGTAACCACCTTAACAATTGTTTCTTAAAAAGAAGAAAGTCAGAGCTATATTTTGTACCATTCCTACTTTTCACACAGAAATGTAAAAAAATAAGTTGGAAACCATCATAACTACCTTTCTGCATATCCAAATCCATATTTGGGCTTAATAATTTGTGACAACCACCTTCTGGTTGTGTATGAATACCTTAGGCCATACTTTGTCTCATAAATCCAACCAAACGTATTTTGTGGGACATCACACATAATATGTTATATATTATATATGAATAGTTTTTCATATTCATATTTCACCCGTCACCACATCTATGTGTAATGATACCGCCAACACCGACATCGCATCCCGAAGAAGAGGATATTTTTTTGTTATTGTTTCAGTCATTTGGCTGCTTCATATTTTCCTCGTCATGTATTTTAATCCTGAAAAAAAAGAAAACATTTATCCAAATTGTTATTAATTATTTTTGATAAGCACTTACCATTTTTCCATCATTCATTGTGAATGAACATATACCACCAGCAGCAACCAACTGAAAACACCAAACAAATATAATCACCTCCAAAGTATTCTCGATGGGAAATATATACCTCGATGGGAAATATTTGCACCAAACCAAGCAGCAACTATATTTGTCGTCCCCATCCCTCCTTTTTTGTATTTTTTTTTTAACAATAATATTATTCGGATTCACCGACTCACCAATAAAAAAATGTAAACAAAAGATCTAAACAAATATATTATGGCGTTACTACACCAAACTGTTCCCAGGTGAAATGTTGTACGATCGGCATACAAAATGTTGGATATTTTTATATATTAAAATGATTTTTATCATTTTTATTAAACAATCAAATGACATCACCGCCCCCTACAATTGCCGCCGAACATTAAAAATTTGTAAGATCCCTCTATATGGATCGCCAAACATTAAAAAAATGTAGGATCCACCATAGTTGGAAAAATCCGATTTTTCATCACTGGTATGAAACTCCAACGTGTGAGGTTAACCTTAAAAAGAATCACAGTGAACAATCAGTTTGTCACATTGATTAAAAGAGGTCACCAAAAGTCAAGCAATTTTATTACTTCAAGTGGTGAAATTTTATCATTAAAAAAATAGAAAATAACGATAAAATTGCAAAAAAAATATACAGTTATATATTTTTTAAAATCAATAGTTAATAATTTCCGGATAATTTTGTTGGTTAACAAAATTTTAAGATAAAAAAAAAAAAATCAACTGAACAAGATATTCAGGTGAGAATCTTTTATTGAAACATATTTTTTTTTTTAAAAAAAATCCATTTTCTTTAAATATGAAAAATATTTATTATATTCCATAGAATATAGTGGTAAACAAAAAAATACCACAGCTAAACTATTTGCTGATTTTTTTAACCGCGGCAATCAGCAAATACAAGCTGTGAAATAAAGGCGGATACACCACATATCACAAACATATTTCTATGGTGACAGAAATAACAAAATGAGCCTAAAAGAAACCCCACAAAACATTAATTAAAATCCTCAGGTTTGGAAAATAGAACCAAAATTTGAGTGAGTACCAAAACCCAAAAAAACTTGCTATAACCTCAAACCCAAAAGTTGCCATAAAGAACCATAATCTAATGATCCACGTGATTACATCATTCACAATAATTACATAACCATTTTGATTTTATAAAGAATATTTTAAGGCGTTAGTAATTGCATTACAATTATATCATATTAAGGGTATTCACGAAAATATCCTACAATAATTAAAATTGATTTAAAATAATTAAAAATAAAAAAATATATATACTTAGAGAAAACATATAATTTGCATATAAAAATTCTATGATATACGGTAATATAAGCTAAAAATAATTTTTAAAAGAAAGAAATATGAAAAATTAAAATAAGATACCTAAAGTAAATATTAATCAATAATACTAATTTAAAAATACATATAAATATAAAAACAGATAAATAAAAGAAATTGTATATATAATATATAATAAATAAAATAATGTAAGAAAACATAAAAATAAGTGCATGCTATTAAAAGTTAAAAAGACATATTATATATTATAAAAATCATATTCTAATCAGAAAGAATAAGAAAATTTACTATTAAACTATTGTGTAAAATATTTAAAAATACTTCAAATTTAATAAATTGGTTTAGAAGAATAATAACTAAATTTAAATTTGTAAATTTAATTAATTAAAAAAAAAACGAAATTAAAAATGAATATTATTTATCTGATGAATTTTTGAAACTTGTAAATATTTAATCAAAATGTATTGATTCCTAAACTAAAAATGGGTTGAAAAATTAATTAGATAGCGGCTGATTTGATTGTGTTTGGGGTATTTTCAAAAATTAATGGCATGAAAATACCATGGCTGACTGAAAAATGTCATAAGGGGAGGGAAAAGCCATAGAGGTGTAACATCTAAACCTCGTTAAAGTGGAAATCTATATGGTGTTCAATTTAAACTATGGCTTAATGGTATAATATTTTGGAATACATCCGATTAATAGAATTAAATTTAAATTATCATTTATTTAACTTCGTTTGAATTCAAAAACAGGTATAAAATTTTATATTGACATTTAAAGCGGAAAGAATCCACCCATTTCCGGCGAGCTAAGCCGCACTATTATCGTAGAATCGGTATCCCGGAAGGCAATTTTAATGCCATGCCGCGTTGTACAGATACTCCAATAAAGTCAAATGTTGAGTTACTGATTGAAGAAAATGACATTACAATCATAGAAGAATCATATTTTTCGGCTATAGTGCTAAATATATATTTGTTCTTCTAAGAAAGTAATAATCATAGACTTCGAAAAGTATAATCCATATAAAAGTTGATAAAAAAATCGTATTCCAAAATAAAATCATTTACATATTATAAAAAGACCAGTTTAAAATGGACACAGTATTTAAATCGTTTATTAAATTATAAGCATAATTAAATATATTTAATACAATTATATTCTAAATAATTAATTTCCTAATTAAACACATTAGAAAATAATAATATTTTAGATCTATAAAAAAAAAACAATTGTATACAGATTTCCAAATTTAATGTAACAAATTAAATATTAAGCTGCTATCTAACAAAAATATTTCAACCCAATAAAATTATCAAGAAAATAAAATAAAAATACTAATAATTATAAAATATTTATTTTTATGTTTATAGAATCTTTATTTTTGATTGTAAAACAAATTAAACAAAATTATATATATTTACAAAAATTATACATTTAAAAATTATACATTTAAAAATTATATATTAAAAAAAAAATTATAAATTACTTAATTTTGTTAATTATTTATATTTATATATATATATATATATATATATATATAGTATTGTATATTGTACTATATGCATAATATTATAAATCCATATATTATATATAGTATAAATCCACATATATCTGAAAGAAAAAAATAAGAAATAAGTTAAAAAAGAAGAAAATTCAGATAATTCATTATAATTTTAATCAATTAAATAGTTATTTATGAAAATAATGTAAAAAAATCATGAATTTTTGAATATGCAAATTTAAAAATGGTCAAAAACAACTAATCAATTTACAATCTTTAAATATATCTATCTCTATTACATAATTTATTTTCCACTTATATTTAACCTTTCATATACATTTCATAACAAATTATCAAAATGGCAAGTAAAAATCCCAATATTTTACCTAGCAGGTCTTCTACTAGAATAGCTAATAAAAACAGTACTTCTGTAGACCCTGTTCCTTCTACTTCCCATGCGGCAATACAAAATAATAATGCTATTGATAATCAAATTTCTCTCAACAATCCTGTGGCAAGTCAAGCCAACACCAACAGTTCAATAACGTCTGTCATTGATGCAAATCGTACAGTTATTCAATCTGGAATACCACCATTAATGTCTCTAAATGTTCAAGCACCAACAGGTCCACAAACGACATCCTCACCAGAAACAGGAACGTCTGTGACCAGACCTGAATTTAGTAGTTTAACAGCACAAGAAGTGAGAAATCAATTTGAAAGAGATTCTAGAAATCTACCTACAAGTGAAAATATAAATCTCGAAGCACCTATAAATAGTAATAGCGGACCAAGCTTACGTGAATATATTAATGCCTCAATTAGAGTAGCTCAATCTCAAGCTATAAGATCTATGGAAGATAGACTAGCTGTAATGATTCCTCAAGTCGTTAGAACTTCTATTAACTCTTTAGGACATTTGTCTTTCAATAGTCAAGACCAAAATAGAACTGAACAAGAACATGCAAATAATTTCCAACAACAACGACAATCTAACAATATTAATCGCGAACCTTATTCGCACAATTTGAGCCAAAATTTTGCAATGGGCTATAAACCTATAACTCCAATACAATTGCAAAAATGGGGACTAAAGTTCGATGGTTCATCAAAAAATATTAGCGTAGAAGAATTTGTGTTTAGAGCTGAATCCCTAAGACTGGATTATTGTTGTCCTTGGGATGTTTTCGTCAAAGGATTCCATCATTTACTAACCGGAAGAGCTTATGATTGGATTTGGCAATTTCGCCAACAAAACCCTTTGTGTGAATGGGATTTCTTAAAATATAACTTTATAAGAAAGTTTAGAAATTTCGAAAGTGATTTTGAAATCCAAAGAAAAATTATTGAACGTCGACAGCTTCCTTCTGAAACTGCCGACATATATATATCTGAGATCATAAAACTCAAAAACCAAATGAGAATTCCCATCCCTGAGTTTGAAATAGTGCGAATAATTAAGGACAATCTCAAAGAAGGTCTAGTTCAACTCATATATCCAAAGAATATAGAATCTATAGACATCTTAATAGAAGAGTGTAGACGAGCTGAAACAAATATTGCAAAAAGAATGTTATATCGACAACAACAACAAAATTTTCGAAAAATTCATGAAATCGAATTCGAAAATGAACCATTTGATCCAGTTTCTAACGTCGAAGCAATTCACACAAACATGCCAGTAAAACAAATAACTTGCTGGAATTGCAAGAAACTTGGACATTCATTTATCGACTGCGATCTTGAACAACGAAATATATTTTGTTACAAATGTGGGTTCGACGGAGTAACGTCACCCAAATGTCCTAAATGTGTG